AGGCTCCTTTGGGGGATCAACTGCATATTTTGGAACAACGTAGTTGCTTGCAGCTTGTGAAACGGCGGAGAATACACTTTGGGACTGTTGCACCTGTGAGGTGTACGTTATTCTGTCAAATTTAATGTCGTAAGCCTATTATTATTTGGGCCAATTAAAAACAATTGTGTTGCCCACGCACATTAACAATTGAATAGTTTCTCTACTTATATGTCTACCACAATGTAATTTATTTGCGCATTAGATAGGCCTACATCGAAAGCTAACTCGAATGTGCGCGCAAAATCGCTAGAAAAATAGATGCGCAGTATCGTAACTATTTCGTAATAGACCTACATCGTTTGTACTCTATACTGAGACTTGCATTACTTTGTGCAGAAATCGGTATTTTGAAAAGAAAAAAAAATATAGTGTCCAGCGTATGGGATTAGATAAACAAACTAGCCCTAGTTCAAAAGACAACACACCTTCTAAATAACCACATTCCACCAACAGAAATGATGTTAAGACGCATCATTCATCCACTTAAATCACTAAAAAAAAATGGTAAACTATAAACATCGTAAGGTATTTGACGTCCTAAAGTCAAAACCATAAAAAACTGTCTTCAAAGCCTGACCGACCCGAAATCTAAAAAAAATATATGTAAGGTCGGCTGTTAATGTTATTCCTTATTTTTCGATTTTTTCCCCGAGGAGTCCGAAATACTAGTATGATGTATGGAAATAGCCATATTCATACTTCAATCAATAAAATTGTATTTAAAAAATTAAAAAAAAAAAGAAAAAGAGTTAAATTAATATCATAAATTCATCTCACAGAGTAGCGTTGCCATGGAATCAACAATGTCTGATGCATTCTTCGATTCCAAGAAAAATATATTGACCATTCGGTGCTTACAAGGGAACAAACTAAATATCGAAGATGCACAGTCGCCGTTGGAAATAGACCCACTGAAGGGAAACCTGGTTGACATTGAGAAGATTGCCATGAAAACGCCTGATGAAAATGACGAACGTGGGACTTGGAGCGGCAAATTGGATTTTATTCTTTCTTGCATTAGTTATGCCGTCGGGCTTGGAAATGTTTGGCGATTCCCGTTCCTGTGCTACGAGAATGGGGGAGGTATGTACGAACTTTTTTCGGCCTGAGCGTTCAATAAGCCTAATGTTATGTTTTTGTTATTAAATTTAATACGAGAGTATCCGAATCCCAGTCAATTTTTATAACCACAATGAATATGGATTTATAATAATGATCCTCTAAAATACATAAGGGAAAAATATTGTACTATATTGTGAAAGGAGCTGACTGGTTAAGATACATGACTTTAAGTATCAATGCCCTTTGCTGACCATTACTTACGTTTACGAGCATCTGTTTTTTCCGACCGATTTTCTGGGAAAATTGCAGTATGTTTGCCATGCCTCACGCAAAACTGGCCAAGTGATATTTGATTTTTGAATAACGTATTTTACAATTTTATATTTTTGTTCTGGTACATGTTTCGTTGATGCCATTTCATTTAAATAAATTAAATTTCAATTGAATTCTCTCCGAAGTAGATTATGATGTTTTTCATTTTTCCTTTGTGCTCTAGAGCTGCAATACTCTTATGAAATTAAACAAGTCTGCAATAAACTGTTATATCCACAGGTGCATTTCTTATCCCCTATGTGATCATACTATGCCTGGCTGGTCTGCCTCTCTTCTTTCTCGAGTTGAGTCTCGGACAGTTCGCTAGCCTGGGATGTGTGAACGTGTGGAGAATTTGTCCCTTATTAAAAGGTAAGAATATCGTCGTTAAAATCAAC